CAAACTAGCCAATCATAGCATCAGAACTCTAAGCACCTGAGAGAGAGTGGGAACCTCCCAGAACATTGTATTGTGCCACGCTCAATAGAAATACTCCACGTGGATAACATTTAGAATCAGGAGCTCCTCAGTTGCTCATTCCACCACTGAGTTTACAATGACTTACGGGTAGAAAAGCCATACTAAGTAATGTACTACACCACAAACATCTTAGCCATAACCAACCATCTTCAGAGTATAAGTCTCCGGGCCTGGGGGCTCAGGAGCATGGTCTTGGGGAATATCAAGGTCAAATGGCATAACATAACCTACAGAGACAATGTTCGACATCCCACTTTGGTAAGTAGTGACTGGGGTCTTAAAATCTTGTGAGTGGCCATCTAAGATAAAACTATTGGTCTCTTATGGTCTAGAGCAAAGAAGAGTAAAGAAAACCAAAGGCACAAAGGAACAATTAGTCCAAAGAACTGAAGGACTATGTAAACCCCAGCCTTCACCACACTGAGACAAGAAAAACTAGATGATTTCCGGCTATCACTACTGACTGCTCTGAAAGGGATCACAATAGGAGGTCCTGGGTAGAGTAGGAGAGGAATGTGGAACAAACCTCAAAATAATAAATTTTAAAAAAGACCAGGCTTATTGGTGTGACAGAGACCAATGGAACCCCTGAGACTGTGGCATTCAGACACCCAATCCTGAGCTCATCCCTGTGGCTCAACTTTCAGGCAAAAAATTGGCAAGCAAATAAAGTGAACAATAACACCAGGGACATACACTCCCAATCAGCTTTATGAGATCAAAAGAGTAGCATTTGTCTAGGGGTAAATTTCTGAAGGCAGGAAGAGGTAGGAAAGAAGTTTGACTAGAAATGGTAAATAAAGGGAAGAAGTGGGGAGAGTGCGGTTACACTGTAGGGATTACAATCAATGTCACAAAGCAAAATGTGTATGGATCATTAAATAGAAAACCAATAAACTCTGTAGACTTTCACTACATCACAATAAAAAGTTTTTTTTAAAAAAGAAAAAAGCTCTGATTCTGAGACCAAAAGAATTAGATGGTGCCTGGGTAGCACTACTGACCATTCTAACCAGTATCACAATAGATGGTTTGGAATGGAAAGAAAATGTAGAACAAAACTCATATTCTTAAAGGCCAGACTAACTGGACTGCTTGAGACCAGAGGACACTCTGAGACTTTGCTCTGGGATACTCTTTCAACTATAAAGCAAAATTATCCCTTACAGTCACCTTTTAGCAAAACAACAGAATGGCACACAAAATAAAGAATATTACCAATAAGTACAGTGCTGTACTAAAAAAATTATCTATATGAGCCCAAAAGCTCTATATTTACTCTAAAGCAAAGATGAGAAGATAAGGGCACAGGGAGACTCGAAGACCAGGGACAGAACCACCAGAATATAATACAAGAAAATATTGAGACATTGTGAAAAATCTAACTGTTACTGAACAATTTGTATAGAGATTGTTAAATTGGAACCTAATTTAACCTCTGTAAATTTTCACCAAAAGCAAAAAAAAACATCACTGCCATCTAGTTGATTCTGACCCATAGCAACCCTACAGGACAGTGGAGAACTGTCCCATAGGGTTTCCAACACCGTAAATCTTTACAGAAGCAGACTGTCATATCCTTCTCCCATGACACAGCTTTTGGTTAGCTGCTGAAGGCTTTTAACCCTGTACTACCAGTTTACCAAAAACAAAATATTATTTTTTAAGGAATGTAGTAGGAGCTCTGGTAGCATAGTGCCTAAGGCACTTGACTGCTAACCAGAAGGCTGGTAGGTTGGGCAATCTACTTCTACAGTGATACTGCCTTGGAAACCCAAGGAGGGGTCACTATGAGTAGGCTCCGACTCGACAGTGCATAACAACAACAACATAGTAATGGTGGAGGGATAAACACACAGATTACCAGAAGAGATTAAAGAACCCAGAAAAGGACCTATACAAATATGCCCGACTGATTTTGACAAGTATGAATAAGCAATTCAATGGAGGAAGGATAGCCTTTTCAACAAATGGTGCTGGAACAATTGGTTACCCACAGACTAAAAAATCAACGTCAGTCAACCTAAGCCTCACACATTATAAAGAAATTGACCTCAACTGAATAACAAAGTTGAACATAAAATACAGAACTATAAAAGTTTAAGAAAAATAATATAGGAAAAAACCTTCTATATGAGGAAAAATTGATAAACTGGATGTTATGAAATTTTAAAACTTTTCCTCTGTGATAAATTCTGTTAAGAGAATGAAAAGACAATATTAACACCGGGAGAAAATATATGTAAAGTACGTTTCCTACAGATCAGAAAACCAAAACATAGAGCTAAGTAAGGTGCTTTCCCCAAGCCACGAAGCAATCAGGATTCACCTTAACTCCACTGTTGTAATTGCTTCTAAAGAAACTTAATCCCCATTGTTTAAAGACCCAGGATCAGATACTACCATGTCCCACTCCCAGATGGGGGGCAAAAGAGCCAAAATACAGGGTAACATTGACAAATATCCTCCCACCCTTTTCCTTATAATATTCTTGGAAGATATAGCCCCAAGCCTAGGGAAGGGTTATTTCTAACCTAGGAGGCATCTTTGCCCCTTTCTTCTCTCGTAGCTCTGCGGAAGGGCTCCGACCTGGAAAAAGCCATGGCCACCTTTGCTCTGACTTTCAGAAATTCTTCTGACCCTGATGGCAAACTTGGAAAAGCTATTGCCAAAAATCTGCTACACACCCAATTCGGGAATTTCACAGAGGTAAGGAAATCAACAAGCATGAAGAAAGAGGGGCTGCCCCATACTGGCTGTCCTGAAGAGCACACATCAGCTAAAGGCCACCCTCATGTTGTTTTGTAGATACTTGCTAAGCGGCTACCATAGCCAAGCAGTGAGCTAGGCCCTGGGGTCAATGCAAAGAACAACTAATAATGCAGCAAAGTAAACAAATATGCTGAAGAGGAGTTAGAAATATTCAAAGGGCTGTGAAAGAATATGCTGTAAGAGAGTAGAACAGAGGGACTCCCCTGAGGCTGTTATCAAAGGGCTCCTGGAAATTTAAATTATATGCTGAGATCTGAAGAATGAACAGGAGGTAGCAAGGCAAGGGGGAGGAGCAAGAATAAGAACAATGGCAGTTTGAGCTGGGGACTTGGCCCTGTGCAAAGGCCTGAGGCAGATCAAAGATCTGGAAGGTCAGTATCGGCAAGGAAACAATGGAAGTGGGAGATGGTTGGAGATGAGGCTGAAGGGGGGGGCAAAAGCCAAATCTTATAGAGACACAGCCTGAAGCCAAGAGGAAGCCATGAATTCTTTCTAACCCCAGTACTAACAGATAACACCAGTTATAGTGTGGCAATAGACTAAGGCAGAGGGGAGAACAGAGAAGAAGAGAGAGTAACTGTGGAGAAACCATCAAACAAAAGATGAGGACAGTGGAAATGGAGAGGAAACAGACAAATATGAGAGACATATGGAAGTTAGAAAGAACAGAATCTGATTGTTGATTGGCTTGTGAGGGCTGAAGGACAAAAGGGAACAAAGACTGAGAATAGGTGGTGGTTCCATTGCCAAAGAAAGAGAGATGACAGTAAGTAGATACAGGGTTAGGTGGAGGGAAGTGGAGAAGAGATGAGTTCTGTTAGACTGTGTCAATTTTAAGATGTTCATGAAACACTCAAGTGGACATACTGAGACAGCAGCAGGATTTGTGAGTAGAGAGATTAGAATAGACATCTGTGTCTGAACTACAAAACTGAGATTTTGTATAAAGATGGCCACTGACCTGAAAGGGGTTCCTAAATCACTGAGGAGTTGATTTCTCAAAACCGAGTCATTATAGAATAACACCTTCAGTATTTTTCCATATTTGCCTAACATTACTTAGAATGTTTTCTTTAACTCTGTACTTAAATAACTTTATTTGATAAGGATACTTTGTCATAATTTAAAATATAAATTCAGTAGGTGAAAGTGGGAGATGAGAGTGAAAATAAAATAAATGACCGTGAATTCTTTTTCAATGTCTATTCTTATATCTGGTAGCATAGTGCCTAAGGCACTTGACTGCTCACCAGAAGGCTGGTGGTTCA